CAGAGAAATTGATGACTGTGCATTGTGCATTGCTTACTTCATACGATTAATAAGTTTTGTTCGTATCACCGATTCATTCTTGAATAGAACTGATTAAAGAGCAAGGATGAAAGAAGACTGAAGCAGTAATCACGGCAATATCGTATGAAAGACATGAAACTCGGAAAAGAATAGGAGTTAAAATCTTGGTTTGATCAAAATTTTCGTTACTTATAGATTGTAAGTTATAAACTAATGTCAAACAAGTCGAAGATTCTTGTTCAGATAAATTGATAAGGGCAGAACCATCAGTGAAACTGAAATGTTGGTATGATATTAAGTTTAACTCTGGAAAAGATTGGCGTCTAATTTCATCGATTGTTTCCCCGACTTTATTTTCTTGTTTTTCAGGACACAGAGACTATTAGGAAGTCATTGATTTATTCTTGTACAGAAAATTTTGATAGAAGATAATGCATTATTAAAAACTAACGGAAATCTTGGTGTGATAGTTAGTATTAAGGAAGATGTGAAATTCCAGATAGAAATTGGAGTGTAAATTCACCCATGTATGATTGAAATCTTTACCTAATTCTTTTTCTTGTTTTCTTATAAGTTTCTATTGAGGAAGTTTAATTGTAATATTGACTTGTTCTCTTGCTTTAGTAAATTAATAAAATAGAAGCCTTCAGTGGAGACTGATTCAGAAATCTTGGTTTCCAAAAAGCAGAATTCAGGCTATATACTATGCCAGAGGAAATGATTAGAACTCAAATTCTGTTGTTTCTTTCAAAAAATTTGGTGAAAACAACTGGTTTGAAAAAGATTGGTTTATATCCGTAATGTTCCAATGTGTAATTAACTCAAATCCTTGTTATAGGTAGTGATACTGAGCCAGAGGGAATCAAATTTAAGAAAGAACAAAGGGAGATTTAGGCCAGACTATTGCTAATATGTACAAATGGTTGAGACTTTATGCAAAGCAACCCCTTCTGCTCAACTTTGTCCTCTCAATATTTTTTGCTGATACGTTGTATTACTTTTTCGTTGTTATGTTTTGATATGAGAAGGGGATACAATTAAATTTTTCAACCAAGTTAAAGGTCTTTTGCTCCAACTTTTTTTCTTATCTCTCAACTGTCCAGTCTATTATGTTTCTCTGCTGATGAGTGGGTGAAGGAATGGAATGTCCTCTAACCATAAGTTGTGTTGCTTTTGTTCTTCTGTTTCATATGAAGTCAGAAACCATGACTTGGGTTTGTGAGTAAGCTTTGGCCCTTAAATGTACAGGCATCCTGAACACAATCTAGAGGTATAACTAAATGTTTGGAACAAATTAAGGTTGTTTTGATTGATTATATTTTTGGTTCTCTTTTATTTAATTAACTTGGTCTCTTATTTTGGGTGATGATAAGCCAGAGGAACACATACTCAAGACAGAAAAACGGGAGAACTTTTCCAGAGATGAGGATTAGAACTATCTACCTTCTACCACAGATATGTAATTTATCTGGCTTTTCATGATTTTGAGTGTGACAATTGAGTTCAAAAGATATTTACTGCTGAGAATTCATATGGGATACCTTGCATGCATTATATATTAAGGTATGCGGAAAAATGATATATTTAAACAATTTTCAGATTAGGGGTGATTTTTGAGATTGTAGTGAATTCAGGGTGTTCCTTTGAAGTACCTGCTTCCTATAAGATCCCAGCCAATCCATTTCGTGTGCCACCAAGTCCATCAAGATTCTCAATGTCCCCAAAAGTCAGTTAGACTTATATGATTACATCACAACCTGAGCAGGTTATAAGAGCTACCCGTGATTTCCCAAAAGCTGTATAAATAGGTGTTTTTGGAAATGTCTAAAAGGCTAAGTTAGAAGATGATGGCCGAGTTGTGGCTGTAAAACGCGCAAACAAGGTGAGAGGTAACTCCCTACTATGCAGCTAAAATTATGTTGATAACTTTAAAGTCTTCTGCTTCTAGATTCTATTTTTGATAGTAATGTTAATGTGTCCACGTTGTATTAGCAACTGCTTTCACTGCTACGCATCACTCAACATGTAAGAACCAATATGCCAACCTTAAGTCGTGTCTCACGGCCCCGAATTTAGTTAAAAAATATAAAGAAATCATTCGCAACTTTTATTCAAATTATACATTAAAATTTTATTTTTTTTATAAAAAATTAATTTAAATATTTTAAAAATAAAAACAAAACTATTTAGACTATAGAAACTATAATTACAGAAAAATTGAATCACAAAACTCAAACGAATAATTGAATTTTTAATTTTATTATCCTAAAAATGATAAATATAATCTAAAGATAACATTACATCATCACTTGTGATAAGTGAAACATTTGATTTCACATTAACCTAAACATAGTCGTCTCAAGTTCTTTTTCTATATTGGCTCATATCATGACTTTCTTCGTCTACTTACGGTAGTCCTCCACACTCAAAACTTTGAGCTAAGTTTTACAATTTTTTATGTAAGTATTTATGTTAATGTTAATGACTTAACACAAATCTATTTCTCATAACAATTTTATTATCTTCCCCATGCGTGGGTGTTTCATCATTTTTACACTTACTCATCACAAATGAATCAAATACTAATATAATCAATAAATTTAACATTATTTAACTTTACTTTTTTTTTCCTTTGAACAGTAATAACGGTAAAAGATATATTCAACTTTTCAAAGTTTTTTTTTCCTCTTATGATGAAGTTCTATAAAATAAAATGTTAGAGTAAACAAATTTTATTTATACAATCTCACATATTTATGTTGAAATTAATATTATAATAACTCGTATTTCACTTAATATTTTACTTTTTACTTTGTAATAATCTCATCCTTCTTATCTTTTACCACTTAAATTGAAATTTAACTTAAATATATATAATTTTTTTATTTAGTAATAATTATTTATTAAAGTATAAAAATAAGAATATAATTTTAAAAGAATGTATGATAAAAAAATATTATAATTCAGTTTACTTTGTTTGTTATATATAATCTACTCCATCACAATATATTTAAACAATGAATTAAATTTTTTGCTTTATTCTATTTTATATTACTATATATATTTATTTTTTAATTCAGACATAACTGTAATAAATTGTAATTTAAATTATTTAAAAATTATTATTATCTTTGAGTTGAGTTCATTTATTTATTCATCGTCATTATGATTGTTTATACATTACAAATGATCATGCCATGTAAATTAAAAAGAAAAAAAAAGAGTAATCTTCCTTTTCTTCGTTTTTTTATATGATTTTAAATTTTATTTTTTAAAAAATTAAAGTAAAGATAAATTTGGAAAGTGTAAAGTAGTAATTAAAGTAGAGACTGTCCACAGGCGTATTAAAGTGTAATTACTAAATAGTCAACCCAATGATCAGACATAGTTATATAAACTTTCGTCCCGTTTATATACGCGAGGTATATTTATTTAATAAAAAAATTACCGTATTTAATATAAAAAACACCATATTATTTTAAATTTTATAATATATAATTTTTTAAAAAATCAACAAGTCTTAATCTTAAAACTTTTAGACTTAAAAACTCATCATGTTTTACTTAAAAAAACATATCAATTGTTATAACTTTTTACTCTTGCTATATTTTTTATCACAACTTTTATAAATTCAATAGAGATAGGAAGATAAGGGAAAAAAGAAAACTAAGATAAAACAAATTATATAATATAAAGTGCTCGTAAAAAAATATTCAAAAGAAATTATATATGAATAACAATTCTCAAAATCCTTCAACACCCGTTCGCCGTAAAAAATGTTGACTGGACCAGTCAACCACCCGTGAGCAAGCGGCATCGGCTCGGCATCCACCATGATTATTCAAAGCTTCATTTGGATTCCAGTTCTTTTTTTTTAATCTTTTATTTAAATTATATATAAAATATTTTCAAATATTACAGTGATAATAATAATTATTATTTAAAATATCATAGGAATTTTTTAATAGAATTTTTTTTTACTTCTGTTTTTTAAAATAAAAGTTATATTTTTTTAAAATTTGAGATGATATTAATTATTTTTATTTCCACTTCTTTGAGTTATTGTTTTAGACATTTTATGTGTTTATCATAAATAATGAAAAAAACAATAAAAGCCATACTATAACGTTAAATTTTTAATAATAAAAAATTATTAGTTGTATTTATTATTGTCTATTTAGTTCAGCTTATTTTGAATTTTTTTACTTATTTTTTAAAAACGAGATATTATTTGTTACAAATAATTTGTCCCACACAAACACTTAAAATGTAAATATAAATAATTTAGGTATTAGGTTAGGTAGAAATACTAATAAATAAAAATACTGTTGAAAAATAATTAATATATTTAATTTTTAAATGATAAACATTTTAAAAAAATAAACCCTTAAAGTAACGATTAATATAATAATAAAGAAGTAACATTTTTAAAATAGATAAATGGAAAAAAAAAATATAATGTGATAACAATACAATATTGATTATTAGCAATTTTATAAATATTTTTTTATTTCAACTCCTTAATTGATACTTGAAGACATTTGTTAATAATATTAAAGTTTTTTTTATTTGTACAATACTATACACAATAAATTTTAATGAATAATAAGTTTTTATTAAAATATATAATATTTAATAGTATAAATATTTTAAATTATACAATTTTTAATAAAAAAAATTATGTATAAATTTTGTGTATAAATTAAAAAAGTTATTAATAATAATATTATTATGTGTTTAATAGTTTTACATATTTACAATGTGGTCTCTGTTTTCTTCTTGTTGCATTATTTAATGTGATTAAACAATTGGGTGATGAATGTGAAAAGAAGACAAAGATTAAGACAGGCGTGGAAACAGAAGAAATCTCCCACCCCCTTTGGCCCCTTTGGCCAGTCTCCTTAACGGATTCCAATCAATTTACGTTTTTCCAATGAAAACCACTCCAAAATCACATGCATTTTCTCACCTTCATAGTCACACACCATCCATAAAACCTTGTCTCTTTCCCTTTCTCTTTTTGGTTTCTCCTTCAGCAATGAAAATACCCCTCCCTTAATTATTCTCTGCCATGATCACAAAACACCCACCTCTCTTCATCTTAGTTGTATTCATAATTCCCTTCCCCATAATCAACACTCAAGTGAACCACCGCGACTGCCACCAAACATGCGGTTCATCCAAACCCTTCCCTTACCCTTTCGGATTTTCCTCCGGCTGCGCCATCCGCCTCAACTGCACCCCTGACGCCGGACCCTCCGTCGGAGAATTCCCCGTCCAAACCGTAACCGCCGACAGCATAATCGTAAACATCAAAGCCCAATGCAATCGCCCATTCGATACCTTCCACCACCTCTTCAGCCACAAATACGCACCCACTTCAGAAAACGTTATCCTCTTTGACAACTGCACAGGCACCCCCTTGCCCTGCTTCATACCCGAGTCTCTCGTCCGCACTCAATTCCAATCCGACGGTTGCAGCGGCTCCGGCGGCGGCAATTTAAGCTGCTACTTCGAAAAGAGCACGAAAGGGTTCGTGAGTGACCGAATACTGGAGCAAATCGAGTGCAAGCACTTTATGTCGTCGATTTCATCCAATAATTTGAGGAACAATTCGGGTGCGGTGTCCTTGGAGGTTGCTACTGTAGAACTTGGATGGTGGCTTCAGGGAGATCAATGTCAATGTTCCGATCATGCCAATTGTACCAAACTTCAATCGCCGGTTGATGGAAAGCCAGGGTTCCGGTGTCGCTGCAACGAAGGGTTCATCGGCGATGGGTTTCTGGCCGGAACAGGTTGCCACAGAGGTTAGTAGTTCTTTCTTCTTGCTGTTTTTTTTTTTAACTTATTTTCCTCGATTTATAATCACAACTATTTTTCTATAATAATAATAACTCTTTCTATATCATTAGCGTAATAACATTTTTTAATGAAAACTTTAAAGTGGTTTTGTTGTCGATTTGACTTCCCATAATGATGTCCAATTGTCCATGTTCATTCTGCCTTGATAATAATGATTAATCCATTAGATTAGTGTTCTGTTTTCATCCATTCATGTTGATAAGATGGCATTATGTTAAAAATTAAAAACATTGCGGGGCACTAGCAAATAATAATAATAACAACAAATTTTCTGACTTGAATAATAACCGCGTTAATGCTTAATAACCAATAAATAAAGCAAAGGTTTGATTCACGCTTTTATTCCGCACATCTTTAGTCTAAGCTCTTTTTCTTCGTCTCGGTAGAATGTTTACACAAACATTAATAATTCAAATCCTTTTCTGCATATTAGTCTTGTGCTGACATGAGGAGATCATGACCTTTTCCTTCTATCCGTAGGAAATAACTCTGCTGAAAATTATTCGTTTTATACATTAAGTGGCCAACCACAATGATACACGTGTATAAGATTTTAGGCCACGTTCCTTTTGAAAAAGTGAAAAAAAAAAGAAGTTGCTTTGATCTTTTAGTTTTATTGTATGCATACTCTCCATTGCATACATCACTGATAACTACATTATACAGTTTTTTTTTTTTTTTATAGTGATAAACATAAGTTTGCATTTAAGGTTTGATAATATTTTATAACTATTTTTTAAAACAAATTTTAGTGCAAATAAACGCTTTTGTAAAAAAAAATATATTTGTGAGTGTTGAAAATAAAAAAAAATGATCTGAAACAATATTACATCATATCATAATTACCAAGTTAAAAAATAGATATTAATAATTAAATAATAATGAATGATTAAAAAAATATTTTTTTACAAGAAGGAAAATATACTAAATACCAATATAAAATAATGACTGATACCTTAGAAAAATGCTGTAAAGGAAGCAAGTGGGGCCCGGGTGCAACGAATATAGGGAGAGGAGGGAAATAGATAGTGGACCTGAAACATGCGTATCACTTAATATATTGGAGAACGCCATGATTAGGGGAATTCAGGTCAACGAGACTAATCAATTACTCAAGTGGTCAAATTTTCTTTCCATAATTCGCTCCATTCAGGGCTTTTCCTTCCTTTTTCATTTCTTTCCCTTTTTGTCTATATATGAATTTTTGAAGAGTACGTTGCCAGCAAGAAAGGGAAGTTTCACCTATAACCATATTTTTTTTAATAGGTAATTTGAATTTTTTTGCTATTTTTTTAAGGACTCGAATTTGAATACTCAATCTAACCATCAAATCAGAATCGTAGGAAGCAGGCTGAATAGCTTAAATTCTGAATTGCCTGATCTTCATCCGATTACTCCAATTTGATAGTTGCGCTAATTTTGAACTTCATTAAATCTCGGTCCATTTTTAAAATCAAAGGATAATCGTTTTTTACACGTCAAAACTCAAATGCTTTCTTGAATACTTCAATAATTTCATTTATAAAGTGAATTTTAAAACTTAAGATGTAGAAGTATTCATTCGAACAGCATAATTCGTTTAGATCGGCTCACTGTAGGTCGATAAGGTTTCAGATTGAGTTGGATTGTATGTGTATATATATATATATATATATATATATATATATAAATGTTTTCAAGCTTAGCTGAATTTATCCTATACATGAGTCTAGCGTCTAGTTATTTGGGTTATTCCATTGAGTTTCACCGATTTTGATACCCTTATTTAGCTAACAATCAATAAATTTTATAAAATTATCATTTCATATTTTGAGAAGTGTATGTTGTATACTTTTGGAAAGAAGAAAGATAAGCGTGAAAGTGAAATTAAAATATAATAAATGTTATAGATAATATGCAAATAAAAAAATATAAAAAATTGAAGAGCAAAAAAGTGGATAAATATTTTAACTAGTATTTTTAAGATATTAATTAAGGAAATAATAGATATTTTTAATTAAAAACATAGTAAAATGTGTTAATAATACTTTCATAATTTTTTATTTTAAAATATTTACCATATTTTAATATATGTTAATTTAGCATTTTTAGCTTTAATTGTTTTAACTTTTAAGACTTCCGATAATCTCGCCGCATGTCATTAACGGTACAAGGCAGGACTGAAAATTTAACTCCGTTTCACTATTTTTTATTTTTTTTGGGCACTAATTTGTGAATAGAAATCAAAGATTAAAGAAGGATAGAGACAGCTAGCTGTAACCTAGTCTTGATTATTTATTTATTGCATGAACGTATTATTGATTTGAATTTCGAGAGGTAGACTCACTAATTATTTAACCAGAAATTCTCTGATATTCCGGGATCAACAATATAATATATATTAGGTGATAAAGAGGGGCCAAAGCCCCAAGAAAAATATATTATTCGATCACATTCTCTCTCCGTTTCATATGATAGGAAATAGTACGAGGAAAGTTAGACAGAGAAATCAGAGCTCTGGACTTCTGGTTTTATTAAGAAACATTATAAATAGTGAAAAAAAAATATGGTGAAACTTCGTAAATTTTTTTTCTTCTTTGAAGAAAATATAAAGAAAAAAATATTTAGATTTTCTTTTTTATTAATCTAAATAATAAAAATCTTTATTCTCTTTATTTTATCTTCATCTTTAATTTTTCTTTTCTTTTTGTCGTTTTCAATCCGCACGTACCCAGACAAGGACATAAGGGTGTCATGCCAAATATTATTATCTGATACTTTTTTTTAATGTCGTAACTTATTTAATTGCTGTTTAACTAACAGTATGGAGCAAGGGATTTCTCCCGCTAAGAATATACCTTAATTAACTATCAAGCTGTTGCTAATTGCTGTTAAACAAATTTCTCCCTTTGAGCAATCAGAGAATGAACCATTAAATCCTTAAAAGCATAACATTCCAGTTATCTGGCTGGTTCCAAAACTCCATTCTCTGTAATAATGAAGTAATGACCTTAACAGGATCAAGTTACTAACTGTATCATGTGAATTTGGACTTGTAGAAACAGCCTCCTCACCATGCAACCCGGCAAAGTACATGTCTGGTCGATGTGGAGGGACAGCGAGATTTGTTGTCTTGATTGGAGGTAACTTGTGCTTATTTCATGTTTTGTAAACTACTAGGAATTCGGAACAATCAACCACTCATCTTGTTGCTCTTCGGTGTTCAGTTTTACTAACTTAAAATGCAAAATAACTAGGAATATTAAACTCAAGATTGAGATCTTACGGTTACTCAATTAACTTAATTTTGCAGGATTTGTTTTTGGTGTTTCACTGATGATTACTCTGGGTTCCTTATGTTGTTTCTTTCGCCGGCGCTCCAAGTTGAGAGTCACAAAGAGCACAAAAAGGCGCTTAACCGAAGCAACTTGCAATTACAGCGTTCCTATCTATCCCTATAAAGACGTCGAGAGAGCCACGAATGGCTTCTCAGAGAAACAACGACTCGGAACTGGGGCATACGGGACAGTTTATGCTGGAAAACTTCACAACGACGAATGGGTTGCCATCAAAAGGATAAAACATAGAGATACCGACAGCATTGAGCAAGTAATGAATGAGATAAAGCTCCTTTCCTCAGTTAGCCACACCAATTTAGTTCGCTTGTTGGGTTGTTCCATTGACTACGGAGAACAAATCCTGGTCTATGAGTTCATGCCCAATGGAACACTAAGTCAGCATTTACAGGGGGAGAGAGGGAGTGGACTTTCATGGCCAGTTCGACTCACAATTGCCACTGAAACAGCACAAGCCATAGCACATCTTCATTCGGCCCTTAATCCTCCCATTTACCACAGAGATATCAAGTCAAGTAACATACTTTTGGACTACAATTTTGGATCTAAAGTAGCAGATTTTGGTCTTTCTAGACTTGGGATGACCGAAATATCCCACATTTCAACTGCTCCACAGGGCACCCCTGGCTACGTTGATCCACAGTACCATCAAGACTTTCACCTTTCTGATAAGAGTGATGTGTATAGCTTCGGTGTTGTTCTTGTTGAGATCATAACGGGACTCAAAGTGGTGGACTTTTCTCGTCCTCACAATGAAGTCAACCTTGCTTCTCTTGCTGCAGACAGGATCGGGAAAGGGCTTTTGGATGAGATCATAGACCCATTCCTTGAGCCCGAAGCGAGTAATGATGCTTGGACCCTCTCTTCCATACACAAGGTTGCTGAGCTGGCATTCAGATGCCTTGCGTTCCACAGAGATATGAGGCCTTCCATGACAGAAGTGGCTTCTGAGCTTGAACAACTTAGGTTGAGTAAGTGGACAACATTCGGAGACAACAATTGTATAACTTCCACCGAGTTGTCCTCTTGTTCTTCCTCCTCAAATGAAAGTGAGAAACCACTAAGCACCACAATGACCAAGGTTGGGCCAAAGGGTAAAGACCATCTCTATCTCCAAAATGGGCCCATTACTTTGAAGCCTATACAAAAGCCTAATAGTAATTCGCCGGTCTCGGTTCAAGACCAAGACCTGTGGTTGAGTGAACAGAGCTCACCTTCGTCAAATAGTTTTCCCAGTAAGACCTTTGATTGAGCTATAAGATAGAGTAAGACAGCTCTATGTTACGTCAAATACTTTGCTTGTAAATCATTTGAATGATGACCTCGAAGGAGGGAAACACACAAACCCCAAAATATCTCATCACTAAGGTGGGATGGGAGGGACATAATTCTTTTGTGTTATAAGATGGTGATTTTTAGGACAAATATAATTTATGGGAGAAATTAACCAAATCATGATTCAAGTAATGCTAGATTAATCACCAATCACTCTTTGAACATGGATTAATGAGATCTTCTTAAATTGAAAAAATATATATTTTTGATATTGTCTCCGAAATCTTAATTCAGTCAAGCATTCCATTTCCTCGCTGTTGATAATGCGTGTTACTATAATGTGGACGCATTAAACCGTAATTTTGGACGATGTGGATGGTCTGTATCTGTTAACATTATAAGTTGAGCCATGCCAATTGCCGAACTGTCAGAGTTGGCGTGCTAGTCTTGTAGAATACTGTTGATCTGTTATACAATTTTTTGTTCCTTAGCAACCCTTTTACTTTTGGGACGCGCTATCCAATGGAATTCCTTGCCTTTATGCCTAAGATTTCTGCCCAAATCACAAACCACTTTGAATAGGAATCCTCTCCTTCTGAATTATAGTGGAATGTTTGGAGATTTTTCTTGTATTCTAAGAAATCCAAATTCAATTTACCAGAAACCAAACACGACGATAACATAATTATACATTTCATCGGATTAAATATAAGATATTGAATAATAATAAATTTAAGTTCAACTATTGAGAGTGCAACAAACATTGTTTTTCTGTCAAACTTTGAGAGAAGATTTTTTATTCTTTTAAAATGAGAAGTGATAGGCATGAATATATAATAAATTGTAAAAAATTTAACCGTTAATGTTTCAATTAACAGTTTATGCTTTATTCTATACTGTGCAATTTAACGGAGACAAATCTAAGCAAAAAAGCTTAAATTTATTAACAATATGCTTGTTTGGAATTTTATTAGTGAGAACGGGGAAAATTTGCATCCCAAACTCTTAAACAGAGAGCTAAAATTTTCTCCTTTTATCAAATGGACATCTAAATGAGGTGAACAAAATAATTGCCGAAGGCAGGAATAATTACAGACAAACAAGCATTTGAGCCCGTGAAGTTTTCTTAATCAAACTAATCAAAATTATTTTACTTCTTTAGGCATTCCAACAATTATATAAGCGTAGTTTATTTTTGTTTACGGTAAAAAAATGTTACTTTGTAAATAAATAATCCAAAATTAATCTAGGAACTAGATTTAGGTTCTCTTGAGTTCTTTTAAAGATGTTGCGATTAAAATGATTATATAGACAGTGTAAAAAGAGTATTAAACAAGATTAGTGAATAGTAAATATGTAGAACTAGATTAAACGTAGAGGATTTTACAAAAATGTGCTAAACAAGAATCAAATTGCATAAAAGGAATTGAGTTAAAACTAAAATGCAAAAACATAAATGATGCAAGAAAATAAATGAACGATTTATAGCAATGAACAACAATAGCCATATATTTCCTTGTAGCTGTTGTCTGGCACGATACATAATTTTAGCATACAGAGAATTTAGGTGCGGTATCTAAGTACAGAAAGTCGTCATCTGAAAAGTAAACTTTGATATATTTATAGACAAGTGAAACCGCCCGTTTTTCTTTTTTCATGAACACTTTTCGGTAATTACCTTTAACTATTGCCTATTATTCACAATTGGCTCTAACCGTGCTTTCAGTTGTAGTTTCTTTCGTTAAAGTTATTGCCCACAATCCTTTTTTGTGGTAAAAGCCTCTAAAATAACTTAAAATAATACCTTTTCAATAGAAACTAAAGTTCTTATCAAAAAACTTTTCAATACTTTTTTGTGTTTGGAACTATTTTTCAATAAAGAATAAGCCTCCTTCTCTAATCCTTCAGAAATTTCTCAAAATAATTTTATAACTTAAAATTTTTTTTTTACCCCAAACAATTTTATAAAAAGTACTTAAGTTATTCAAATAATTATCTAATTAACATCTGCATTACACACACCACTTGAGATGCGATGACCACTTGAGATGCGATGACCGTAATATTTCAAATAAGATTCGTTTCACATAATCCAGTGAAAAACCCAAAACTTTATTAAAAATAAAATAGACATATCAGTAATGGTATTATTCTCTAGTCAGAGTTAAAATTTTACTTTAATAATTTATATAATAAAAATAATATTGAAAGTTATCACCCTAACATAAAATAAAATAGTTATCTTTAAATTAAAAAATCATAAAAATCTCATACCTAAAAGTAAACGTGTCTCATTAAAAACTGTAAAAAAAAAAGTTCGTCATCTTTAAATTAAAACCTAATCTGACGAGTGAAACGTAGCTTAGTTGGGATTTCTATTGATCTTTATCAGGAGTCATGGTTATGTGATAAAGATCTGATTTTGGATCCCAATTTTCATTTGCTCTTGGGTCTATTTACACTTAGGGGTGGGAAGATAATGCACATCTTATTACGTAAATTGTATCGACAAGTATCACGCGGGTATTCAATAAGCATGATGTAATTAACGAGTTTGAGAAGCAAGGTAGGTAGGTTCTTCCTGTTGAAAAGTCTGCCTTTTGAAAAGCTGTGTTCGTTGAATCAATGGCGGATGAATATCCCTTTTGTAAGGGATCTCAATTTTGAAAAATGGTTTAACCTTTAATAAAATTTAAATTTAAATAATTCGTATAAGTTAATACATGTAAACCATTCAATTAACAGCTGGACATTCCTGGTTCATTGACATGAGAGACGTATTTCGCGTTATATATATATATATATATATATATATATATATATATATATATATATATATATATATATATATATATATATATATATTGACATATATATAACATGTTACTCATAAATTAATTTTATACGACAGATTTTATAATTTAATTATGAGATAGAAAAGAAAATGCTAAATAAGATAGGTATCGCGATGGAGAGATAGAGTTAGAGAATAAATAAATTATAAAAATGTTGTAAAATTTACTATAAATATATCATTACTTTTAACTAGCAAAATTTTAATGCATTGCACGTATATTTTTAAATTTAAATATAAATTACAAGTAGAAAATAAAATAAAGTACTATATTATTATTATCATTATTATTATTAATCATAATATTTTATATATTAATAAAAATTAAAGAGATGAAAAAAATTAAATAGTAACAAATTATGAGAAATAAATTATTAAAATCACGACACATATCATTTTTATTAACATGGTATATTAAAAATTAAATTTAAATTATAATAGATTAAAATAAAAATAATTTTAAAAATCAATCTATTTTTAAAAATATCTTTAAAAAATTTGGTACATAAATTAAAAAAAATATTTATTTTAAAATTAATTATTTTATATGAATAAAATTAGTGGCTAAGGGAGCCCTAGTGATGAAAGATAAGATAAAGATAGTCTAAGAAGTTAACCGACCAACATCGAGCCTCGACCATTATTTTGCTCCTCTCCTCTTATCTAGGATATGTAAAAGTGTGGATGGCAGGTTAAGGTTGATTTTGTTTAAATTGTTTATGAAAATATAATATTAAAAGAAATATTTTAAAATTCAAGTTAAACATTTAAATTTGTAGTTAAAAATGATATTTTAAAAGTAAAAATCAATTTTGTTTGATTGATTAAAAACATGTTTGGTCTGGATATTGTTCCAGTATAACAAATATAGGGTCTAATGCATTGTACAAAATGAATATGTATCCCTTTTTTTTTTTGTCAAAAGAATTCTTTTCAATATGATGAGAAAAAATAATATATTTTAATCTGAAATATAGACTTAATTTTTAACAGGGAGAATTGTTTTAAACATAAAATCAATTTTTAGAGTGTTAGTTAAAGTGTGTAATAAAAGTTGATTGTTTTAAAAATTTATTGAAATAACATTATAATCACATCAGAGAGATACAAAAAAGTAAGTCACAAATGATAATATCGTTATTCAGATTACATTAACTGTTAACGTTTATTCTTCTCCGTCACTTAAAAAGAATATTTATTTACACGACAATTTACGTAAGGGCATGCATGCATATTTTATAAAGTAAATTGTGTTATGCATATTGTAAGGAAATATGAATTTAAATTTGTCTTGTAGTATTAGGTTGGAATTTTATTGACAAAAGAATTCATGCATTTCTATCCGAAATTTAATTTTGTTGTCCTTTATTTTCCTCCTTCTAATCAAATAATATTTCACACACAACAAAATTAAAATCGCAATATATTTACTCTTGTTATTTATTTATTTTACTTAATTACATGAATACAAGAAATAAAGCACCAAACTTGATTCACTACCTCTTATATTTTCCCATGTAATTGGTCAGTGACCAATTGTCATGAAGATAATGGTTGTGTGCCAATGAACATTGCCCTATATATCCTCCCATGCATCAACCTCTATCGTCATTGGTACCGCAGCATATCCATATAAAAATCAAATACTCGGGTTCCACATTTCGTACTGTTATTTTCTTTTAGATTTTTGTTATGTTATTTATTTATTTATTTATTTTAATATTGTTTACACAATAATTAGCAATAGTTAGTGTTATATTTTGTTTTAGTTAGTTTTACACTCTATTTTCTATTAGTAGCTGAATTGTATAATGGTTAGTTAATTTTTCTGTTAATTACTTTTTTTTATTATATTCTTTGTATATATAATTCATCTTTCTATAACCTTTTTAATAAAAAAAAATACAGTTTTTCAATCTCTCTCAAGTTTTCTCTTCATGAATTCTTCTTCTTTTAATAAATATATTTTATAAAATAAATATTAAATAAAAATAGAAGAATTTATAAATTTTCACTACGTCAATGATAAAAAAAAAGTTAAATTAGTATATATATCTCTCTCACTGAAAAATTTAATATATTATTTTTTTCTTTTGAAGTAGACTATCTTATATCTAATGAGCTTTTCACACCTTATAACATTTTTTTTTGTTTATTTGAAAAGACTTATATGCTTCTACAATCAATTCTCACTAATTTAAAGGCAACAATTAAAAAAATGAGAATAATCACTGAGAATAAGATTAATGGTTAATATTACATTTATGTATAATAATATTAATATCCTATTACAGTTAGGGCTATAGCTACGCCTAAACTTGAGACTGAATCACTCACAAATCTAACAAATTTCGTGTTCTGGAGATGTTAGTCCTAAGTTTGAGATTCCACAAATGTTTGGCATAATATGATCATTATTACATGTTACGGCCACTTAAATGTTTGTAAACTTTAAACTCAATATGTCGATTCGTGAATAAAAGGAAAATGTTAAAAAAAATTTATTATAATGTCATCCTTTCAGTTTCTTTTGCGAACCATCACTCCTTACTTTTTTTTAATTTGTAAGGTACAAATCCACCAAAAAAGAGTTTTCTACTGTCAAGAAGCCTGATTTAGTACCTCTTTCGTACACGCACTTGAGAAAGAATTCACTCGATATAATTGGTCCGTGGCCGATTGGTATGCAGAGAGTACAGTGATCATTACCTTGGAATTCCAGGGTCCTACCCATCAATCCACTATATCTTGTCACTTGAACATCCAGCAAAAAATGGTAGGGTGCCGTAGTCCTCACTATCATTTTTTTTATCCCTTATGTGCTCTCCTACAAGTTGCTAGTGAACAGAACCTGTTACATCATGAGTGGGACTGTTGATGACTTTGCTTTTGTTATTAATAAAAAATCAAATTATCTAAACGTTTTTTCAATTTTGAATATTTGATAATGATACTGTAAACAGATTTACGATCTTCTAAAATAAACTCACCATTTATTAGTTTTGAAGAACCTACGTTGAGTAGGTATAAAAACTTTATCCAAACCTAATGTTGGCCACTCGTGGATGTCTTGTTTTAGAAGTTTTACGGTTCAAAATTTAAGCTTCAAGTGTGAGTGAATGTGATAAGATTCCATAAAAGTTCGTACATGACTGATCAAATCTGTAAGGCGGGGCCACTCATACACGCTTTGCGTTTGAGTTTTTCACATTCTAACATTACGTTGGGATAAAAAATTGCAAGAGAGAGATTGGATGAAAATGTACTTTTTCACTATTTATGTAGTACGAAAAATAAGGAGGAGGAAATATCTTTAGAATAACATCAATAAACTTACCCCCAAATGCAAGTGTGAACGTGAAGAAGGGAAAGTTGCTTTTATTTTTTTAGCCTTTTAAAAATCAAATGAGTTTTCTATAGCATAAAAATTGATAGACATAATAAATAATTTTACGTTAATAAAAATAATAGAGTGAAAATGTTTTAATTAAGTTAAAAGTTTTAAATATTATTTTATATTCCACTTTAACTTTTTTACTATTTTGTACCTTTTTACCATTTTTTTTACTTCTATTTATTTAAACAACCCTTTTTACTATGTTTTTTACCTGTCTTATTTTTTCCTTTATTTTCTTTCTTTCTTTTTCTTTTTTGCATTTCCCTCCTTATCCAAATAAAATATAAATATCCAATCATGTCCGGAAGAAATTTATGTTAAGATCTCACATAAATTAAGTATACATGCACGGTTAAAATACTTTTATAATGACCTGCATAATTAACAATTAATTTTTGGGAATGAGTTCTATACCATTCATTCTCAGTTTTAATAACATTCCAACATTGATATTATGTTTTATTACATTAACTGGGGCAAAAATCTTCTCATCTGACTTAAATTTAATATTTAAAATTTGTAATTCTAAAATAAAATGAGTCTCCCAAGCTCCAAATCCTACGAAAAGAATTTTCTGATTTCAACTAAACAGTGCAGCAATTTGTTACGTGAGAATCTCTCTCTACCCCTTACAGGTTTTAAACGCCAACTAAACCTTATCAAAAACACTAGGTTTTGAGTAATGCTTAAACGGATACGTAGCTGGAAAAGGGATAATCATCTTCTGCACTTCATTTTTGGGTACAGACAGAGACAAGAGAAAGAGAGAACAAATAAAATATATAATAAATGACGTTGAGAAGGGAGACCGTATATGCCAAATGGGTTAATGCAGTGCAGAGCAAACATGCTTTGTTCAGCGCTCAGTCTTAATTAATAATATCCATACAAGAATGTACTAAAAGATACTATAATTTAATCGAATCATCTGCATGGTATGACTCGTACACAAGGAAAACCCAAAAGAAAAAACCACATGCGCGAAGTCGATAAAAATATTTGAAGGCACGCTCTCTTTCAAAGATTCAAAGAGGTGAAAGTAACCATAAAAATGTTGAATACCATTCCCAACAAAAAGCCAAAAGGAAGAAGAAACATGCACAAAATATCTAAAAGCTTGCTCTCTTGAGAGAGGTGAAGGTAACGGCAGAACCCAAGGGTGACCTTTCCACTTGAATATCAAAAGAATCATAACGAAGAAACAACTCCACAACCAGAAGCCTAGAAAACAACATCACAAAATCCTTCCCAGCACATTGCTTGTTACAAACGCTGGGTTCCTCCGTCTCAGGACCGTTCGACCAAAGCACGTGCTTCAACATCTTCTCTCCTTCACCGACGAACCTATCAGCCACAAACTCATCCCCTCTCTCGAATATCTTCGGATCCTTCGTCGCAAACGGTTGAAACCCAAAAAGCATCTCCCCTTCCTTCACCAAAAACGCGTTCTCGTGGCTCTCAACCACTAAGTCCTTCTTCGCCTTCCCGTACTGCAACGGCACCGGCGGTTCGATTCGAAACGCCTCGTAAACCACCGATTTCATTAACGGCATGGCTTCCATCGCCGCCATCGAGACCTCACTTCCGTTAGATTTGACGGCGGACCTCACTTCCTCCGCTAACCGGGCATGAAGTTTAACGCCCGCTCGTGCTATCCATTTCAACACGGTGGGGAAAAAAATCTTGATGCCCCCGAACGAATTGAAGCACGTGGCGAATAACAAATTGTGGCACGCTTCTTCTTTGGAGAGGCCAAGACGCACCGCTTCGTCTAAAACAGAACCCGATGACTCGTAGAAGAAATCGTAGAGTCTCTGGTAATCTTTTTTAATGAGAAAAGGAGGGAGACGGAAGGTGTGGAAAATTGGATCCTCGATGAGTTTGGGCAGGCCCAATACCAGAATTGGGCTTAGCTGGAACAGCACCCATTTCTGAACAATGCTTGGACCGTCACGTCCCAAGTTGGTGTCAGTGGGGTTGCTCCCATAAAGGGCGCGACCGAGGAAGTTAAACGCTGCTTGATCGTTAGCTTCTGCGAAGCTAGCTTTTCCATTTGCGGCAAGTCGCTTCTCCAGCGTGTCGAAGAGGGTCGTATAGGTTGAACGGAACTCTGGGATGACGTGGCGGGTGCGAGACTTGAGGAGGGAGAACATGAGGCGCTTGAGTGGTTCGTGTTTGGGTTCGGAGGGGTCGAGGTAGGAGAGGATTCGGTAACCGCCGGTGAGATCGGTGGAGGGCATGAAGGTCCCAGTGAAGACGTCGCGCTTCTCCACTTTAGTGACGTCGAAGAGGACGGGGAAGGATTTAGCGTCGAGCAAAACGACGACGTTTGGGTTGGAGGAGATGAAGGGGCCAGGGGGCATGTTGGCGCGGAAGACGGTGGATTGGTACTTTTGGATGCGCGTTTGGAAGAAGATATCGCGGCCTTGGTTGTAGAAATAGTCGAGACGGTCTTTTATGGGTCCTACGATGGGGATGCCGTAATCTCCGGGGATCTTACGCAGAGGAAGGGTGGGGGTCTCTTCCACTGACAGCGACGTCGTTTCTGAGACTGAGGCTTTCAATCGAGTTAAAGGACGCTTGGAGGAGCGGTTTCTCTTCATTGAAAAATCTAGTTGTAGTAAAGGAGGTGCTGAGACGGTGGTAATCGATGCCATTTGGGTCTGTATTTTGACGCAGAAAGCGAGGAAGAACAATGGATGTTATTGTCACTGTTGCTCTCTCTGAGTGACTGCTGATAACCTTTCGGTCTCGTATTTATTGATAACCCATTACCACACGTGCCAATTTTTCCATACATACTATTCTCCCAACTTTTTTCTCTTACCTATGTTTTTTTAAATTATCATCTCACGTAAATTATTTTTAAATATTAAAAATAATTTGATTCGATTATTTAAAATTAACAAGATTTTAATAAACTAAAAATAAAACTTAATATTAACAATAATTTAAAATAACAGTAACACAATGTATGAGAAAAATCATATGAGATATGTCTAAGACTTATGAGTTTATTTATTACATTCTTTTATATTTTAATAATTTAATTTTGATATTAGTATTTAAATATTTAACAACTACTTATAATTAGTTTTATTAACACTAAATAATTATGCAACATCAATATTCTTTTTTCTGAGCAAACATCCTAATGATCATACAAGGTAATTAGTCGATAAAGTATGAAAATCTTATAAGTTTGTTAATTCAATAATAGTTGAAAGAAAGGAATTAAGTATGATTAACCTCTTCTTTCGTTTTATCCTATAGTTTCGTTAATTACACGTGGTACAATTGCCTACAATGCAACTAACTATGGAATGCTAAGAATGATCAAATCTTAACATACACACTATAATCCAATAGAATAAAAACTAAACATCAAAGAAAAAATAATACTAATATTAAAGTAAAAACCACATAAAGTTTGAAGTAAAATTTGTTATAACTCTAGTTATGGGTTTAGTTACTCGTAACAAAATAAAATACGAATAACATGATAAATAAATTCATAACCATAAAGGAAAATTCAAACAAAAAAATCTAAAAAGATAAAAGACAAAGAGAATTCTTGTTTTCCGAATGAGCACTCAATTACTTGTTTATATTCCAAGGAAAAACTTGTCGTCCTTGTCAATAGTATCTAATGACTCTAAAAAATGAATTTAAGTTGAACTAAGAAAGGGAATAAGGTATGTAAAGAAGTAAAAATGTCTCCAATGTAGAATATAAGGTCTTTTTATATAAGTTATGCTATGAGTTTCCGGTCGGTTAAGCTTTATCTTTTAAAATTAATTTTATCTACAATCAGAATCGCTTCAAATATCTAAGTTTAAATTTTAAATTCAAAATTTAAACTCAACTTCACATAATACAGAAATAACTAAAAGTATCTAATTTTTTCAGAATATCTCAGTAATGCACTAATAATAACTTATAACTAAACTGTAACAATTGATAACATAATTAGTATAAATATATATAAAATAAAGTTTAAGTTATAAAATATATCAAAATATGAACTTATAAAATTTTTATTACTTTATACGATATTTTATATGTCAAATGAAAAATATTTTAAAAAAGGTGTAAGAATAATATTCTAAGTATAGTTTCTATAGCATTCCATTTACCTATATTATTTTATTTACCTTTCTTAATTTTTTTATCTCTCTTTTGCTTATATCCATTTCAAATTCTTTTATGCACTATGAAAATATCATTGTTTAAAGATGTATAAATATTATGATAAACAATTAAAAAATATTGTTAAACTTTGAATTTGATATTAGTTACTTGATTTATTTTGAATAAATAATTAATGAACAATACAAGGAATGTTTCGGAAGAAACAAAAACAAATATACCGCTTATGCATGTGATGTGATAAAAAATTTAAAAAATATGTTGAATTAATGTTATTTAGATGTCTACAGAACATTTTTTTTATGGCTCGTTATTTTATGCTTCGAAATAAAACATTGCTTATAGTGGACGGTTATATGAAAAAACTTATTTACAGTATTTTAAGATAATTAATAATGACATGCTTTTTTATGTATTTATTAATTTTCAATTTAAATTAGACCTTGATTTTTTTTATATAATTGATATAAAGAAATGTATACCCCTTAATCAATTAAAATATTATATATATACACATTAATATTTATTAAAAATAATTTTTTTACTTATATCACAATTTATAATTCAGTGTCAGTGTCAGCGTGTTAGTCTATTTGAATTAAATTCTAAAAAAAAAAAATTTGAATAACTAACATTGGGTTTTTTTATAACCTAATAAATATTAGCTCTTAATGTTGAATTTTGTTAGGGGAATTATTAAATAAAATTTTAATTGTAACGAGAGATTGATGCTGTAAGCACATTCCCCTTCAAATTTTCTTTTTATTAATTAAGAAAATCAGTTAGCAAAAATTTAAAAATAGAAAATAAAATGTTCATGTTGGGCTATCAGTTTTTTTTTTTACCGACATTTCTATTTTCAACATCAATTATAAATCTTGGTGGACTGTGGCTTTCATGTTAGAGATTGTATATTGTTTGATCTTATTTTTTAAAAAATAATAATTTGTTTTTCAAGCTTCTCTCTCGAAAGTTTTGTTTGTATACTTTTCATGAGCAATGCTTTTAATTATTTTCGTGAAAAATATTATGACAGGTTTATCAAACAACCACGGACTGATCTTGTATAAGTGAACAGCGAGTGAGTAGTTTTGAGAAGGAAAATAAGTTGTTGGAAAAAATAACAATTTTGTATGTTTTGAACTTATTGATTTTATAATTGTAGAATTAATTATTGTACTATTTTATACAAATATGTATTTTAATTAATTAATATACATATTTTTATATTTTAAAAATTAAATTTATTTAAATTAATTTAATTATATTTATACCATGTAGATACAAGAAAACTGAACATATACTGCTTGTCAAGTTTTCATCTTAAATTAAAACATTTATGTTACTTGAGATGTTTTTTCGCCTATTATTACTGCGACTACTGTTGTTTACACCTTATAATGAGTGTTATGTGAAATTTACATTAAAAAATTAGTATCGATAAAAAATCTGTTTATAAGTTAATTTAAGCTCATCATATAAAATACAAGATTTATACTTCAAAATTTTATGTTTAAATTAAATTTACACTCTTTGAAGTTGGTATGACTAAACTCAATGTAAATAATGTTTTTTTTAATTACTAAACTTTAAAATATTATTCATACGTTTGAATAAATTTTTTTGTCTCATTTTATCAGCTTAATAAAAATAAGTAGTACAGATATTTATTAAAATAAATTTTTAATATATATTCAAAAACAGACAATAAAAACATATTAGCGTTTCATCATTGATAATTGTTCTTATTATTACAATCATTATTATTATAGTTAAAAATTATTATTATTATTATTTAAAAATAAAATGTATACTTTTTGTGTTGAAAATATTTTTGAGTTGAACATATCAAACATTTTACTATTTGTATAGATTATTTTGTCATATTGATAAATATAGTCTTTTTTTTTTTATAAATAGATAAACTCAGAGTTCATAAATTTAAATTTTAACCCATTGTGTTAACTTTAAAATACTTAATTTCACCATTAATTAATAACGGTGATTTCTGATTTACTTTTTAATTTTATATTTTACATTTTTCTTAATTATAGAAATACCATGCACAATTCACATATAAAACATAAATTGTTAGTAATTAACTAAAATCTTATTAGTCAGTCCGTTAAAGTATTAATTAAAAATACAAATAAATTTTTTATTAAAAATCATATTAAAATGTATTTAAAATCATAATTTTTTATTTTATTAATTTATTTTGGATTTTTTATCACACAATTCCCTTTTATGTCATGCTACTCTTTAAGCGAATATACACATTACATGCATATATACGTAAATTACCAGGGTACCCTTGTGTGGCTGTTACTGACTTGTATTGAAGGAGCTAAGCTACAAATCAAAATGAACACAGGACATTGAGGGTTTTAGGAGCAGTGGATAGGCTTCTAAGTCCATTGCTCTAAAACCCTAAATTCAAGGGATGGAACTTCAAACCCTTTGTTGCGCTCTTCCCTCTCAACCATTTCAATTCTCCAATCATCGTATGATCTCAGTGAGTAAAACTTAATCCACACCTCCCAATCAATTTCTGTGTAACTCTTCTATGCTATTCTGGAAAACTTTTCACCCACTGGTTCACGTTTATTTGCAGTCACGAGCGTTTGGAACCCACGCTCCATTCAGAAATCAAAGGCAAAGATTTCGGTTTGGAAACGCATCAAAATGTACGTTTTTGTCCCCGCTCATTGAACGTGTATTGAGCTCGCTTGTTAAGAATAACACCGTAAAATTAACAAAAAAAAAAGGAATTTGTTGTATTAGTATTTTGGGTTTCTCTGTATTCATTATGACCATTTTACGAATTGAAATTTTGATTTCAGGTTTAAAATGGGTGATTAAAGAGCCTTCACTGTTGGGGTTGAACAAATTCCAGAGGGTTGTTATTCATGCTTTTGATTCCAATGTAAATGATGGCTTGGAAGTTCATCCAAACCAAAGTTCTAGTGTGGCTGTTGCTGAGTTTGATAGGGTGGAGCCGTTTCATGGTAAATCAGGTTGTGTCTCTTTCCACGGGTTGACACACCAGTCGGTGGAAGAAGGGAAACTGGAATCTGCTCCCTTTGAAGAAAAGGGGAGCTCTTACTTCTGGGTCTTAGCTCCTGCTGCGTTCATAGCATCTTTGATTCTGCCACAGTTCTTCGTTGACAGTGTAGTTGAGGCATTCCTTAATGATTTGATTTCAATAGGTATTTTACCGAGAGAACTTTGTACATGCTCTGACTGTGTTATAGTTTCTTGCTGCTGTTGATATCAGATTAGTTGTTAGCTTAATTTTAGTCTCAGAGTGATATTCGAAATTAATTAAATAAAAATAGTATCTTTCAAGTGGTCAACAGTCTCGGTTCTAATACAATCTTATGATTCTGTCCAGACACTAATCACTATTATCCATCTAGTATTTATTTATCTATCTACTGAGAAAATGAAATTGTATAGGCATTTAATTGAGAACCTGACTATCCTACCTATCTCAAACCAAACACGGGGGAAGAAGAACAAGGTGAAAGAACTTTGACACTCATGTGAGAAGAAATTCTTTGGAAAAAAACACAACAAATTTAATTTTTGACATTGTTATCTGTGTAGAATAATAACTATGTTGTGAAATTAAGAATGACTCATGCTATTGCCCGTCCCCTTGCATTTTGCTTTTTTTCCGGAGCTTGTTGGTCGTGTGGATGTAGTCATGTATGTAGATTTCTGTAGAAGTAAAGTAATTATTAATTAGTTCAAGAACCAGTAGGTAGAATTGACACTAACAAATATGGAAGATTTAACCTTTGTTTCTTGTATAACTTTTAGCAATTTTGGCAAAATTGTGTTTCCTTGCTGTTCTTTTGGAGAAGTGTGGTGAACTACTTTTTGCCATTAAAAAAAAAGTCTAGATGTCTGGATGGAATTCTGTAATTTTTCCAGTTTTGTTTGTAAGAACCTTGTAAAATGTGGGGAAGATGTATTTCTTATGCACATTTCTATTACCAATAAAATGCAGATCTTGTGAGTTCATTCTTCCACGATGCCCTGTTCTACATTGGGCTAGCAACATTCTTGCATGTGACTGATCGTGTCCAGAGGCCATATTTGCAGTACAGCTCAAAAAGATGGGGTCTTATCACTGGCCTCAGAGGATACCTATTCTCTGCCTTCTTCACCATGGGTTTGAAGATTATTGCTCCTCTCTTTCTTTTGTATGCGACCTGGTCAACAATGCACATGGCGGCATTTGTTGCTGTAACTCCTTTTTTGGTTGGCTGTGTTGCTCAACTTGCATTTGAGAAATCTTTGGACAAGCGTGGGTCATCTTGCTGGCCTCTTGTCCCGGTTATATTTGAGGTTTGTCTATTTGTTTATTTTCGGATCGATTTAAGATTTTAATGCAGCTTGTCCTATCAGCTCACTTATAGGAGAGGTGTAGCTCTCTCTACCTGTAATTAGTTTTTTAACATTCCAAGTTCATTTTCCAGGTATACAGACTGTATCAGCTTACAAAAGCTGCTCATTTTGTTGAGAGGTTGATGTTCTCTTTTAAGGACCTGCCTGCAACCCCCGAATTGATAGATCGAAGTGGAGCTTTGTTCGCAATGCTAGTGACCTTCCAAGTACTGGGGGTTGTGTGCCTTTGGTCATTGATGACGTTTCTTTTGAGGCTATTCCCTTCTAGGCCTGTGGCAGATCATTACTGAGTTTGGCACGGATTGGGGAAGTGTTGTATATATTTGCATAATATCTGGGAAGTCATGAGCACTATTAGTTGATTGATCTTAATCCAGGCTTTTCATTAAAAAAATTTGTTCGCTCTACCCCCTGCTTCTTTAATTTCTCGATTGTAGCACCATCGTTTGTCAAGAAAACGAAGCTTGTAGTTTTGTTTGCAAGACCTGAACTTGAATGGATTTCATGCTGTGGGTAAACGGGGCATCCATTTATTATGTTCAGAAAATGTCACTGCATTGTTATTTTTCCCTTTTGGTTAGGACATTGGAGAGTTGTTTACCATGTTATCAGCTAGCTATTCATTGCAAGCAATTAGTATTCTGAAATATGAGATGGAGTAACGAGTGTGTTTGTAAAATAGATTATGTTTTCCATAGCGTATAATATGAAAAATGTGAATGATAAAGGGACTACTGCGAGCATCAGAAAATTTTCAATTATGCTGTGTTTCTTTGGTTTGACAGATTTCCCTTCCTTCCACGCAAGGGTACAGAAATAGTTTTATAATGGTACTCAAGCTGAAACGCTTGTGAGAATGCTTCAATCAAGGATCTGTGAGTAATATGATTAAGACTGGCATCGTCCAAAACTCCAAATTATGCAAACCAGCTGTTCCATGAGAAACAAGTGACTGAAATTCTCTCAGCAACCCCCTAAATGAGATAATCTATTTAAAGGGAGTCAAAACCGTCGTGACAGTAAGTGGTAAGCCATGATAGGTTATCCAAAAGGGATTAGCTCTTCATGCAATGCACCCTTTTTCCCATATGAAATAGAGGATGACTTGGAGTGGGGATGAAGAGGTTGAGGACATGATGAAATCGAACTCGAACAACGTGGATTCAACAAAATCCAACCAGAATAGAGAATAGCAAGAAGAGATTAGTGTTTTTATTTGTCACGGCCTCTATTCTAATTACAGATTCATCACCCATGAAGCCACGCCGTCTCATCCACTGTTCAGTTTTATAACTTTCGGTCTTGGGTAATGGTTATCAGCTACGTTGTTGAATACATGAATAAGGTTGTTGTATGTAGGAACGAAATACGCCAACTTCTAAAAATTTAAGTGTTATATACCGTAATATAATTTTGCATAATATAAATGAAAAAATATTTATAAAATTTTATAATTATTTAATTCATATCACACATTTCATACATATAGATGGATAGATTAATAATAAAAAATGAAAAAAAATTGAGAGAAAAATAAACCAACACAAAAATTTATTAATTTTTTTAAAAACAAAAATAAATTAATTAGTACTTAAAGTGTAACTGTTTATATAAAAAATAATTTTAATAAATGTTTAAATATATCCACTATGGATAGAGACCTGATTGGTGTCTTATATTAATAATTACATCATTAATAGTTTTATATGAAATGTAATTTTTCTTAATTCAATTGTTGAGTTAATTATATGGGTTAAACTATATTTTCTGTCTTTAAATTTAAGTGAAGTTTTGATAACTTTATTTTAATTCAATTCGATTCGCTAAGTTTAATTTAAATATCACTTTTAACTGTTTTATTTTAATCTTTTTTTGTGATAAAATTTTCTTCATCTTTCAATTTTTACTGATTAAAATGATATTTTGGCATTTGATGCAAATATAAATTCATATAAATATATGAAACTTGATTAATAACAATGAGTTGTCAATAATTGTTAGATATTTACATTAACAACTACTTCACTATTTTATACCTTACCATTTAAGGTACACATGACGATAAATCTACCTCATTTGACCTAAGAATGCTACTTCAGTACCCTATACAATTCAAGTCAAATTTCTACTGTTTTGAGTGTTAGAAGATTTCTTGTAAAAATACCACCTTTTGAAGATCAACAGAAAATGAGAAACCCTACTCAATTCCTTTTTACCGGAGTACCAAGAGCTAAGACCTCCTTTAATATTCTAGTACTAACCACATGTTATTGTCAATTTTTTTTAGTTGCGTGACTTTTCATTAATGACATGAAAGCATTACAAATTATTTAACTTTCATATTTGATAAAAGTTAAAATGAAAACATTGTTATAACCAGTAATTATATGAGGAGTGACTTGGATGAAAAAAAAGAGAATAAAATATTTAAAAGAAAAAGGAGAGATAAAAAAGAAAAATAAATAGAGAATGAATATAAAAACAAATAAATTTAAAGATGTAATTAATTTCATAAAAAATAATAAATAGTTTTCTTATACACGTGTCATAATTCATTAAGAGATTTAACATAATTTATATTTAAATAAATTTGTATTAGCATGAGTGGGATATTTTTTTTTATTTTTTAAATGAAAATATTTCTACTTTTTAAAATTTCAAAACTTATTTTATTTAACAAGTTGTATTTTTTTTAATTTTTAAATCTATCATAAAGGTACATGTTTGCAAAAAGTTTTTAACAAAAGAAAATTAATGTTTGAGAAGTCTAAAAGACTTAAATACATTCGATCTTCAAATAAATAACAATTTTCAATAATTGTTTAATTGATTTAGATTGTTAGTTTTTAAAACTTGCAAGTAAACAAGGGGTAAATACAGGCATTCGATTTGGTACTGAATTGTACAAAATACTGATGGAATCACCCTTTCAACTCTTGACCTTAATCAAATACATAAAGAATAACTATCAAACAGCCATCAAAATATTAAACTTAAGCAAGAGCTACGACAGATATTCATCACATTCATTCTATGATGCATTAAGGTGGTCGTTTCAAGTAACCAAAACCACAAAAATAAAAAATGCATTTCATTAAGTGAGTCAAATTACGTCGTGGTAAAAAGTAGTGAGGACAGTCGACAGGACAAATAGATGGAAAGAAAGTATCTAGTTAAAAAGAGAAATGGAAAGAAAGTCCAGGTACACAAATCTTTACATGGTAGCTAAAAGGTCTCGCAACTCTGCAACAGATGGGACTGACTCAGCTGGGTAAATCTTGGCGACAAGTTGGACAAAACTGTCGTACTTATCGAGAAAATCCTTCTGCCATAGTTTGTTGAAAAGAAACAATCAAATTTGTTGCAAGCAGTGAGAATTTCGCTGGTGTTCTTAGTATTAGGCAGGTAATAATAACTGAACGTTTAATTTTTTTTCATTCAAACAAAAATAAATTTGCTTAAATAAAAATATAAAAACAATAAAAAGAATTACATAAAATTCGTTTAAAAGGAGAATTGGATGGAGGAAAGGGATAAGAAAGTTGAGTATGGAGGGAAGAATACAATTGAATAGTAAGAGAGGGAGAATTGGGTAGAAGAGAAGCGGGTAGAGGGAGGTCGGAGAGTTGGAGAAGGTGGGAGAGGGAAGGATTGGTTAAGCGAAATTTGTGTAATTTTTTTTGGTGTATTTTTTATTTAAACAAATTTATTTTTTAAATACAAATAAAACAAGACGTTAATTTTTGTTATAACAGGAAAGGATCTAGATTTATGTTATTCTTATTTTACTATTTTTAATAATTTTATTTACATGAATTCTTAAAATTAATTTTAAATAAATACAAAATTTATTCAAAAATATTTATTGTTATGTTTTTAATATAATAAATATTTTTTTATTTATGAATTAAAGCAATACCAACAAATAATTGAAGAATAGTATACTTTCACTCTCTTTGGATTCCGGTGAAGAACAAATTAGATATTAGATATAAAAGAAATAAGAGTATAAATTAAGTAAAGATAACTCATAAGGTAGACTAAATACGTTATTTAAATAGATAAAAGAAAAAATATTCTCTACTATTTATATGGATAAAAAAATAAAAGCTTAAATAAATTATATAAATTAATTCTCATGATAATATTAAAATTTAATTTTTTTACCATAAATTTCTTAATTGAAGTTTTAATATTTTGTATTACACACAAAATCATTTAATGAAAAATTAAGCTTAAAAAAACATACATTCTCCCCTCCTTCCAACTGGGTTATGTTAGTTGCTCACTCCTAATACGAGCTTCAAAATTTGACGTAAGAACTATCACTTAATTATATTTAGTTTTTATATTTTATGAATTTTGTAATTTTGGTCTCTATATTTTTAATTATTCATATTTAGTCATTTATTTTTATTTGTTTAAATTAATTTTTTTAAAAATTTATCCAATAATTAAAAAATATAATAAAAATATGACATATAATAAATTAGTAACGTAGAATGTGTGAATATTAAATAAAAATAGTAAATAAATGTATAAATTATCATAGGTGTTTTTATTTTATTTAATTATTTTATATACTATTTTTTTAAAAAAAACTGTATAAACTAATGATATATTACATTTTTGTTAATTGTTAGACAAAATTTTAGAAAAATTCATTTTAAATATTTGAGAAACTAAAACAATTAAATTAGGGGACACGGTTATTAAAATATACTGTAAAAAAAAATGCAATCAAGCTTAGAAATATTTACTGTAAATAGGAGTTCGTTTTATGCCAATTGGAATAGAGTAGAGCGTACCTTGCATTTATCCCACAAGGAGGGTAGCAGTTCCTCCGAAGTCAAGTTCTTCTGCAATTTCTTATACATTGCTGCAATGGACTTGTCCACCTATACCCGGAAGCAAAGACATATATAACAATGTAAATATGCCACTGGCGAAAGGGTTCTGAAAAAATAGGCACCACCTTACCCCGGATAAGCTGGATTTTAGGGTCTTCCGAAGATCCACTTTGGACAGCCCAAGCTGGAAAGGTATCTGAAATTGATGTAGAACATTAGACAACTGTGAATGTACAAAGTGATATGTCCGGTTACAAATAAGTTTAGCTATTTAATTAGTTAACAAACACAAAAAAAATATGATACCGATTCAGTACTCTTTGAAAATAAATTTAAAATATCTTATATTGATTAGAAATATATACAAAATAATCATAATAAAACTTGGATTGTGTTTAGAAATTTAGAACCTTAGGTAAAATTTATGTTCATAATCAAATATAGTTCATTAATTTTCTTTTTGTATCCCTTTGTCCTACAATAATAAATTAATGCTAACAGGACATTTTTATAATAGATAACATATTTAATCTATTTTGTAACATAAATTATATAAGATTTAAATTTTAGTTTGTCTCAGATTGATATTTAACAACTTCAACATCTTCATAACTCTCTTAATCACTTAAAATATTCCTTTCAATTTTTCAAATGAACAAATTTCTCTTTTACATTATTCTTTTTCCACTCCTTGCTTTCACTTCATTTCTTGGGCATTTATTTGTAAAACTCCAACGCTTCCGACTTCAAGTGCACAGCTACAATTGTGAAATTCTGTAATCCTTGAAAATTAAGCTGGATATTCGGTTGCATCGGAGAATTGCTAAAAATTTTCTTTTAGAACAGTAAAAATTACCATGACACAACATTCTATGCAATTTTCTAAGACTAGATATCTAATCCTAAACAAGAAATGTCCTATATCAACTAAGAATAGTTCCTCTTTCATTAAGTTACCTTTTGAGTTGAGTAGGGCCTAACTCGTTTCTAATAAGAATAATAAATAAATAAAAAATGTGATAGATATCATGTCAATTTGAAGATCATAGCAACTGAGTAACACACGTAGATTCTTGGAAAGTGAACTCCAGCACCGTCGCAAAACCCAAAAGTAACAAGTTTAGTGGATAAAAAGGAGAGGACAATAACTCAAAGTAGGGCCTTTTAGAATCCTGTATGAAAAACAAAAAACATAAACACGGCCAAGCTGAAATGTAGTAAGAACGTAGTAAGAACAACAGCAATGCTATTTTGTACGATTATTATTTTTTGGTTAAAAGTTTATATACTGGGATTTTAATCAATCTGTGGAGGGAGATGAGTATATGAATGGATTTTAACCAAATATTAGTATAACAACCTATACATCTGTAGTTTCCCATGAATTATGCATGATGCCCAGAAAGGATTTTTAGACTTGATCTGATGTATAGTTCAATAAATCTAGGAAAAACTTTGCAATCAATTTGTTTAATAAAATAATTTCAGATATATTGAAATGTTTCACAGCAGGAGGCTATGAAAGATTAACAAACCAAAATCAGCAGCAACAAACCTCTTCAGGGGCAACATTATTGAGTATTAAGTCCTCAATCCTTCGAGCAAACTGAAAAAGGCGTTCAAATTGCTTTCCAAGGAAGAAAAAGGACAATGAGTTGTCTTACAAACTATAAATTCAAGTATGGCGGACACAAAATAGAGAATAAAATACTCACATAGTAGATAATCATACTAATATGGCGTGTGCAAGCTTGCTCATAGGCTTCACTAGCCTGATGATAAAACTTGGCTAAAGTGGGCACAACATTGGCAAGTTCATACAAACTGAGCAAACATACAAAATAGTAAGTGAAATTGAAACAGCCTTGAGCCTCCTCATGGAAGAGTGGAGGGCATGCAAAAACATTACCTATTCTGAAAAGCAGCATAGTTCTCTATAAGAAAAATATCTGCATACTTTGGATCTATCTGTGCAATTTTTTCCAAAGTTACAAACATTATGCTAACCTGTAAAGCAGCAATCCCTGGTAAACAATGTGCCATATTGGATACACGTTGCTGAAACATATACCAAGAATAACAAAGGAACAAAAAAAAATAGAATGAAACTAAAAGACAATGCAATACTTTAACTGCAGGCAAGATGGCTAAGCAGTAAACAATTGAAATCACCTGTAGTATCTATCAACATAGTGGAGATGATTTAAGACTATCAATTCTTCATTCACTAAGGATGCATCATTGTCTATAGAAAATCATGAGTACAAAAAAAATTATTTGTGGTCAAGCCAGAGAATAGGTAATCTACATGCAGGCAAAAATAATAAGGAAGTTTAGCAAAACTTGATTGAAAGCTTAATCTTTTTCTAATACTTGGTGCGAATGCAATTTATATATGAAAGAAATAAGTAAATTTTTTCCTTTTTTTTCCAGTAGATTCTTTTATCTCATTCAAATAAATTGGATCCCATACGTACTGTACCTCATACATCAAACAGCGGAGTCGCTTTCCATTCCATTTTATTTCTAATCGTACCAAATTATAGAATTAGAATTCCTATTCTAATTGGTTGATTTCTATGAAATTGCATCAAACATAGTACAAGAAGAAAGAATAATACAGAACAGGACAATCAGGAAACCTCCTAACAGCAAAAGAAACAGGGAATCCTCTAAAAAATCATTAGCATAAACCTACTTAGATGCAAGGAGACTATCCGACCTTGAAAACTCTTGCAAATCATTCTAAGCAAATGCGCTGCAATGTGTGAACATAGAACATGATTCAGCAATACCTTAACTACCTTTCTTCTCCCACAAACCGAAAAGAAAACTGCGACAGTGAGGGCAATTTGCCTTTTTTTTTCCTTCTTATAATGAAATTCTATTTATTATTGACTAAAAATATAATTTTGGGTCTAGAGGGTAAAAGAGGCAAAATAAAAATATTTATATTACCTACTTATAATTTTCTCCAACTGAGGGGTGCATTTGCCCACTTTCAATTGTATGTAGGTCCGCCTAATGCTCACAAAACTTCACTTGATCTGGAGCCAAGCCTATGCTTGATCTATGCACTTGACACTCAAAAACTACAAGGTCTAAACTCATCCATTTATTTGTCTCATCATCTTTGGAAAGCAAGTGTCAGAGAGGAATGAACTAGATTTCTCAGCTAAGTTGTATGTGAGACATCACAAAACAAGACAGTTCTTAAAAGGAGTCACTCACAAGTTTTGTGTATGCTTGGTCAACCAAATCCCTCGACTGTCCCGCAACATACTGCTCCATCCGGGTTGCAAGGGAGGCAAATCTATGTTAAAACAATTTAGACATTACTGAACACCCGACATGTATATAGACTTGAGATATTAAATACAGACAAGAAAGTAAATATTATCGCAGTTCTAACTTTTTATTTATTGCTCCCTAAAACACACCAAATAGAACGAGGAGTCAGTTTTACATCTTCAACTTTTGTCTTTGATATTTAAATATTTCCCTATGAAACATCATGTAACATAGTTAAGAGTTACACGATGCTAGTAGAGTAGGTATTTCTATAATCTGAACTCTGTATTGCTGGCTTTTGAGTTATACGATTTTTTCCTGGAAATGGTCGACGAAAAAAAAACCTACTATACTCTTTTGTTCATTACATAGATACAGTAGATATTATAACCACTACCCTCACCCCACAAATAAAATGTGATAAAAAGACCTACGATTCCATGAAAGCCATCGTGGACCCTTGCGGAATAAATGGAATATAGATAATTTCCTCAGACAAGGGAATAAACGGAAAATCAATAATTTCCTTGGACAAAGATATGTAACCCTCACCAAGATAACTGAAAACTGCAACAAATAAAAACCCTAACCTGAAAAAAAAAATGATATAGGACCAGAAGAAATTGCTTTCATTCTGAAAAGAAAAAAAAAAATCCCGATTTTCTTTGGAAAAAAGTAAATTCCGAGATCATTTCACCTGGGAATGTACGGTAGGACACCCGTTTGGCGAACATTGCGCTCATTTCTTTCAATCTGATGGCAAGCTTCATCAACAAACTGAAAGATTTCCAATTAGATGAATTGGGTTAGCATGTCAATCTTCTAAATGCATGGGGCAATTCTGATTGAAATTAGTCGCATACACGGCTGAACTGTATAGATATTCGAGACTCCAGGTCATCGAGCAAAAGGTGTACAAATCCTGCTGCATCAGCTTTCTGACCAGAGAGATAGCGTTCTGTAGTTCCATGCATTGATATGCAGCATAAGGGATCAATCTTATATGCCCAATCCACAACAGCATAGAAGTCTTCCTGAAATCATATAAATTGTAAAGCTGCACTTTAGCAGAAAAATCTTTAAGTAAATAACGTCTAGAAACTCGATACAAATTGTCCAATTATAAAGAACAAAATGTTTATCATTTACAGACATATAACATGAAACTTGGGTCAGATAAAATGTACTATGTTGCTATGGAGTATTCATAAGAGATAAACAAGATAAAGAACAACATAATTGAATTTTCATTACGAAAAGACAGAACAATCTATCTTTCCAACATGGCTATCATGTAACATGAGAGGATCTGGATAATTTCATCTCCCAAATATCGTAAGCTCAAAATTACATGAAAAGAGAGATATAGAGTTTTATTCAATGCATACTTGAATCCCATCAAGCAAATCCTGAAGTGATTCATTTAAAGCTGCAACATCCGCAGGATTTTTACCTGCAAAGATGAAGAAATGGTCAAATTATGGAAAACTGATCACAACACAGAAAAATTAAACCGTAGTAGTTCCATAATTAAACTTTTAAATATAAATTAAAAGAACAGAAAGGATATTTATTGAAAGGGATACATGTACTGGATTTACTGTCATTCTCATCAATGTCCATAATTCCCAAATCATCATTAGCATCGTCATTGTGTCCATTTTTATTACCATCAACAAGTGTAGGTACTTCGAAGCACAAGAAGTGTGCAAGAAAAGTGCTCTGAAACATAAGCCATGAATAGTTATACATTTAAAAAAGTAAACGAGTTTTGAGGCCGAGAGAATATCAAGAACTCACCTCATCCACCAGAAGTGGAATAAAAATTGTGAGCATTTTGGCATATGCATCAGTAACTGTAGAAGTGTCCGTAGAATTTACATTTTGACCAGAACCTGTGAAACTTTCAAGCCAAACAGTTGTAGATTTAGAAGTTTTAGTACTAGCACGAAGTTCATTGGCAAACTCGCGGGCCTGTAAAGGGATTAGTAAAACTTTAGACTCCGTATGCACACTATTCTACCAAAGCATAACAAACTAGAATATGTGAACTGGAGCTCAAACAACAACTATAACATAATTTCATTTGCCAAATACAAAATTGTACTAGAAGGTTATATATATCCATTCAAGTAAAGGCCAAAAGAGTAAGCAGCATCATAGTTCGAGGACACGCTATTCAATTATTTGCAAAATTACTCAAGATATTTAAAAATTCGAGACCTCTTGTCTCTCCATCTTGTTAAGTATGATAAGGTAATCTCTAATTAGTTAAGCAATGAGAAGGTGAAAAAAGCAACTTGTTCTTTGCTGATTCCTTTTCTAAAAGATAGTCTTTGAGATGTACTAAAAGATGATAGCTGTTAAGAATATAATAGATAGTTTGAACCGGTTGAAACATCAGAAGAAAAATGACATCTCTTTCCAACAGGAAGTAATATATATATATATATATATATATATATATATATATATGCAATCAGCTTCACTTTCCCATTCACAAAAGATTTCTCCTTTTTCACAAAGAGCAAAATTCAATCTCCAAATGATATAAGATAGCTATCTTCCCCTACATTCTCCTATATATTTAACTCCTTAACGAACTAACAAATTATTATAACTCTCCTAACTAATTATCCCAACTCCTACCAGTCTAGGACAATTCATTACTACCTAAATGATTTTATTTTGCAGCTTTTTTTAAAAAAATCTTGATTCTATACGAGTAATAACATCAAAGACTACATTTCCACATGCATAATGACAGCCCTCAGTTCATAAAAAAGCAAAAGTCATTATAAGAATTCTACGGCCAAATGACCAAGAAATAAAAACATAGCATCAATACAGTGCGTGAATAGGTAGTAATCTCAGACCTCCCTGCGAAGAAGCAGATTTAGAGAACTGCAATAAGATTTTCTCAGTGGGCCCAAGCAATTCTTATCAAGAATCTGCAAAAGTTTACAGGACGATAGTTAAGGAGAATAGAAAGAAATTAACACAATAAATATATGTATGCAAAACAAAACTTTGAGCAGAAATTATAACATCCATAATTAAACCTTTAAATGCTGCAGAAGGCGGGCATATGTCCTGCACTTGTACCGTAAGTCAGCATGATCTGGCCTTTTCAACTGTCCACGCTGTTTAGAGTAAGCAGACTAAGTGAAAAATGAAGATTCTAAGACTTCAAAAGTTTATAATTCCATACAGAATTGATGCAAAAAATACCTGAGAAAAGTAATTTTTGTCATTTAACATGAAGTCCACAAAAGTAGCAAAGTAACTTCTCACGTATTCAGAAGCTCTCCCAACAAAAGTAGACTTTATTATTTGAAGTTCTCCTCGCTTCTCTTTAACCTAAAGGAGTAGCAGAAACCACCGTTAAAACTGATGACTTTTAAGTCCTATATATGTTTGCCATACTGGCTGCAGCCAAGAATATTCTATTTGCTTAGCCCTAAAATCGTAGTACTGAATATAAACGGCTTTTCAGACCAATCAAAATGGTAGTAACTAAGGAATATAAATCGTTTATTGTCATCTTAAATCTATTTTCTTTATTTAACTTTCTCACAAACGAAAACAAGCAGGCATGTACCACGAACAGTTATTTCCTAAATTATCAACAGCATGCTTTATCAGCTTGAAAAGTACGGCAAAGAACATACTGCTCTCATCTTTGCATAAGTAGGATCTATGTGAGGCACTTCTAGACCACGCATTGCAGTTGTCAACCACTCACACGCTTCTATATTTTGAAGCACCGGCGCATCCTCAAATGAATCTCCTGTCAAGCACGCGGAGTACTACACCCAATGAAACATCATTAAAGTAAATACCAGGCTTAACAAGTTCATGAAACTCAAACTACACGAATTCACCACACAAAGGAATACCTCATCCGGGATACTCAATTGCTTAAGAAGCTTATCAAGCTCTTCAATGAGAGATTTGTTATTTACTGATTGCATTTCCAACTTGTTGTTGCGGGTTTCAATCTGGATAATCACAAAAGGGTTGAGACACAATAGTAAAAGAAGAAATTCATTAAGACAAAGTGGGGGCAATAATAAATGGTCAGCAGGATGAGAGATCCTCCTTTCAAACAAAGAAAACATCAATGAAGCAAAGCTATCGAGTCTCAGCATATTTATGAGAGAAAACCCCATAAAAGACCACAAATTTTACACCAAATAGATGTCAAATGCCAAATCTTATACCAAAAGAACTGCTCTTTCAAAGGAATCTTGATAAAGATTGCAAGAATTATGCTCCAACCATATCAACAAAGATTGGCAATGATTGCATATTGCCACAAAAATTTGCTTCTTTCCTTCGGAAGAGATCATTAATTTTTAATACTTAGTGTCCAAAATTACATCAAGTACTTAATCTATAAATGCAAAACTAAAAATATCGTTTAAAGCTGAAATCAACTTTAATAGCATCACAAAATGCTGGCTTCTTAGAGAAATTGAGATCATGAACAAGGCAATACCATGTCTAAATTTATAACATTTTCAAGTTTTAGAGAACGCAGAAGTGAGATTAAAAAGAAAAAAAAATGAAACCTGATTTACTTTCTTATGATTTTCAGTAAAGAGCGTGTAAAACAGTAAGAGAGGTGGAGAAGATATGCTACTTGACAAAGACACAAAAAAGAGTACAATAAGGTTCTCCAATCGCTCCCCATATCTACCACTTAATGAAGCGACGGCTAAATATCAAAGAGAAACCAAATGTACAATTGTGTCCTCTGTACAGATTCAAAGGCAGATAATATTTTTAAAATTGCAAACATTTCACTCTAACTCTGCACACTAAAAACCAGCATAAAGAGCTTTCCTTCATAAAGTTTTTCTCTCTTTAATCCTGCCAATCCTTTAAAGCTAACCAGCATAAATTGCTCCAAATAAAAGGATAGACCCTATTATTTCGGAAGAAAGTGAAACTTGATGCTAAAGGTGTACGTAACACAAATATAAGAAGATAAGGAGTTCTATTTTCATGGTTTGCTTCCCCTTCTATTTACCTTTTACATTTTAGAAAAATAATTTTAAAATAAAATAGATATGCGCAATCAATATAACATGGTAAATAAAAAACTGTTTTATTTACAATGCCATAACAGGGAGGATGTAAAAAAGAGATGTAGTGGGATTATTTAAACAATACTAGAACAACGCATGTGCAGTAGTGCTTTAGCCAAGGAACTAAGAAATTAAATTAATGAATTAAGGTTCCAGTAAACAGTGCTATAACAACAACAAAGTAAATTGTAAATAGGCAAATTATACTCCCAACTTGAATTGTACAATCCCTTACTGATTCAATATCTTCCCTCATGTGTCGGAGTTTTACATTGAACATGCCTAACCACTCATCCATGTCTTCGACACAAATAGTTGCTGCTTCAAGCCCTTGCAACACCTGCAAGGACAAATGATTAAAATGAATCACTTCAAACAAACACATTAAAATAAACTTAAACAGTTAGTGATGAGAAACATGAAGATTTGAAAAATATAGGGGTATTTCCTTATATCACAACAGCTCTAATGGTTGAAGGGACAATAATGAGATAAAACTACAGCTTAAAAAATGAGCATAAGGTTGAAGTTTCGGGGGGAGGGGGGATAGAATTAGTCCGTCATTTTAAATTCACAAGGGAAGAAAATTAAGCCACGATTAAATATATGAATCAAGGGGCCTGATTACAATAACATAAATAAGCAATAAGGTAATACCAGAAAAAGAAAGGAAATAAAGAACCGTTATACCTCATCTATCAAAGGTTCACTTTCTAAAATGGCGTGCACATTTGCTGCTTCTAGAGCCTGGAGCTCTCTTTTTAACCTTTCAGAAAATGCCTCTGCTTCTCCAATACCCATGATATAACTGCACATTCATAAACTACAGCAATTTAATTATGCACATTGGCATTGTAAAAGAAGATATCATTTAAGAAGAACATTTTTATAAAAGAATAACTGAGTTACCTATGTATCCAACCAACACAAGTAAATAAATATTTTCATTTGACCTTTTTTTTTAATAAACATGTAATGAATGATCATGTTCAGTGCCTGGTACTTTTTGTTGGAACATCATGAGTATCGTCACACTGCAGATAAGTCCACCCACATGAAACTCAGTTTACGACCTATGCTACACCTTGACTTCAGCTACTAATTTATTAATTCCCTGTATTAATATTAATCACAAAATATAGCCGAAAGTTTTATAAGGGAAGATAGAGACACACTTTCTGCGACGATGCACTAAACCTATTGCAAACAGAAGGCATTTGTTTAATCATATTTTCACTCATAAAAAATATTTAACCTCAGAATACAATTTAAGATAGCGAATGATAGCACCTACTTTCCCAAAAGAGCCTTCATGTCCTCTTCCTCTTCCTGGCTGACAAGTTCCTTCTCAACATTGACTTTCAATTCTGCATCAGTCACGGCAGATTCAACAGAAGCACCATCTTGTTGGTTACTTTGAGTGGAAACTGCAGGTTTATTTTCCTATTTCACATTGGTGAAAATAAATAAACAGAGAGAACCAACAGTCTATAATAACTAACAGCAACCAGTCACCGTGTTTATTCATTGAAGTTTAACATCCTTAACTTGAAATCAAGGAATTCAAGATAACTAATGACTAAAGAGATTGCTCAATAAATACAGAGTAACTATTAATTAAACATGTCAACAATAAAATTATCTATTACAAAATGATGAGTGCAGCTTGATTGAAAAGCAAGCTCATATTTATGTGATTAGAAGACCATTATGCACCTTAGCCCAAAGTGCCATCTCCACAACATCAATACCAACAATCTTAGGAAGGCGACCCAGGACATCTTTGCAGATATTTAAGATAGTAAGCAGGAGGCGATTCCTACAAGAGAAGTAATAGACACAATGAGCCAAATTCCACTCCCCTGACATACAACCATTAGCTATTAAATGGGTATAACCTGTCGTCAGTATTGCGCATAGTCCACTGTGGAGGAGCCACACTCTGGCTTCTAAGGTTATCAAATCCCTAATAAGATATATATTCATAAGCAAATAATAAATAAATAGAGACATTTAGAAATAAACTTCATTACAGGAAATGGTTGCTTCTTGATTTACTTTTGTTCCAGAAACTGGGAACATTATTTTCAGAACATGAAGATCTCTCAATGAGAGCAGGAAAGAATGGGACATTACCAGCGTAAATGTACATCCACTGGGATCATTTGAAACAACTTCCACTTTCGAGATGTGCTTCAGCTTGTATATCTTAGCAGGCTGCAGCAGAAATTTTTTTACAAACAAAAGAAATATGCTAAAACCTCCAAACGTGACAAATTAAAGGGGGTCAAGAAAGGGACTATGCTAACACGTACTCTGAAGTATCGATTAAGTCAGTTTTAATTTATCTGTTTTTTCAACTAACAAAGGAAAAGTGGATAATTTCTTCCCTTTAATAATAATGATTATAATTTTACCAAAACAAAATATATCAGTTAAATGCAGGACCTTTCATTTACAGGGCAACCAGCGGAGGAGAGAATACGGGAGAGGAGAAGGAAATTACCTCAAGAACTCCTCCCGATGAATACTTTAAAACTCGAAGAAAAGCTTTTGTCCGCTGAACTTTTGCTTTTGCTACACAAAATAGCATGTTGTCAGCAACAGTGCCACAAATAAAGAATTTGACAAACTATCTAACACACAATGAGGTGACCACAAACACAATCACCTACCCAGAACAGGGGTGGGGGGGAAGGATTCTCCTTTCTCCTCCCTTTCTATTCCTTTTTTGTTCAGCCCACAGAATGCTACCATTATAACAACCATTAATGGACTGGATACACACTGAGGGTGAGCTCATGTCTCAAATCCCTTTCTATTCCTTTTTCGTTTAGCCCACAGAATCCTACCATTAAAGAAACCAGTCATGGATACATTGTGAGGGTCAACTTATGTCTCAAAAAATGCTAAATCCTCCCATAACCCCATTCATACCACTATAAAAGGGGAAATCGTGCAACTACTTGTTAAAATAAGGGACGCATAGTTAGTTTCTAATTGCACCACCACTGTTAACATGAAACCGAAACCGCCTAACTGACAGGTTTCAGAACCCATCGAAATAGAATGTATAAATGCGACATCCTACAAAGTAAACCCGTGTAGCCCACAAAACAATGCGACAGTCAACAAGATTCCCTCAGAGAACGAAATGAATATTATACGTTTCTCACAAAGCATCTTGTTAATGTGTCATCATACTAAATGTTAAGATAGAGAGAAAAATGGCCCGTACTGCAGAGAGCGAGAACCCTAGGCTTAGCCATTTGACGTCCAAGCTTGGCAGATTTTCCCCAGGTGCCGTGAGTCTTCACAGTTCGGATGGAGAGAACGACCTTATGCTTAGTGCCCTCAATTGCAGCCTGGCAAGCTCGGCGGAGCTCAGCGTCATCAGCGCTTGATTTAGCCATTTTCGATCTTCTCTCTGATCTCCAAGCAAGAGCCGATCAAAACTTTGTGACGAGAGAGTGTGTGTCTATTATTTTTAGCACTATAATAATAAAGTGTCAATAACGGTTTTCTGTTGGACCTTTCTCTTTGCGTCCGTCGTGACTCGTGTCGCTTCTTTTTAACACCACGAACGGTTCGTCATAAGCATTGGCGGTCCAATGCCTGAAAGCTAATTTAATTTGCACGTTCCAAATTTCCATGCATTGCATAGCCACGTCTTTTCAGATTGGTTTCCAATTTTTATATTATTTTTACGCCTGTCAACGATATTCCACGATAAAACAGTTATAAAAACAAATTTCGGCTCTTTTTTTTTATTATGATTTTTTAAATCATCAAAATATAAGAATTTTGATAAAATTATAGAAATATAATTTTTTTTTCAAAAATCGTCATTGCCAATTTTTTACCACTTTTAATTATTCTTTTTCAAAAATAGTGTAATGGCAATTTTTAATTACTTTTTTACTTTTTTAAAATTTTATTATTTTATTATTTTATTAATTTTTTTATAATTTGTCATTAACGATTTTTTAACCTCCATTGCTTTTTTTTATTTTTTATTTCTAAACTTTTATATTTATATAAAAAATGGCAATTTTTAAACATCATATTTTTTAATTTTTTTAAAAATACTATATTTTTGTATATATAATTTCTAAATACTATATTTAAAAAAATAATCTGCAAATCTCACTAAAAAATTAACTTAAAAAATTTTCAAAATTAAACAATTTTAACAGCTTTAGCAACAAAAGAGTTAATGTATGTCGTTATCTATGCAAAGGCAAAACAAAACATAAAGTAGAATTGTAGAAGCAATAAAATAAAGTATATTTAATTTTAATCTATGTCAGTGTAAGATATTTTTACTTTAATGTCCAATTTTTGTATCATTATTATAACTGCTAACTTAGATATAATTTTTTTATGAACCTTTCTATGCCGACTCCATGGCAAAATTGGTGTGGAGTTCTCTTCCTGATGGGTTGTGGTCACTTTTGCTAATGGGGACGATGTTCTGCGTATGTTTTGCTAGTTGCTTTCTTTGTGTTTTGATGTTTTGGAATGCTTTCGATCGTCGTAAAACATGTGCGAAGCTGAGCTGATCCCTAGAAGTGAAGCGAACCACCTCATTCATGTTTCTAAATATTTTGTTTTCACTTTCACGCAAGCCATCCTTTTCATATTGGTTCAATTGCACTCGACTTCCACTGTTTGGCTTTATTTTTCTTCCCCACGGCCTTAGGAATTTTTTGCCGTTCAATCTTTGGTCGACCAAAGGATGATCCCTCATAACCACAATTCCCAATAAATCCTTTTTCTTCAATTCGGCACTCCACGAATTCCCGTGCTATTATAACCAAAGATAATCAACCCAGATTGATTTCCGGTAAAAAAATTCGATCACGTAACTTCTGTCCGACTAATGAAGATCATAAAAAAAGAAAGAAAGAATAATCACCTAGTTTAATCGATCGAGTTCGTGAGAACACTTGGCCATAACATGAAAAAGATAATTTCATCCAAAGAAAAAGGAAAGAATCATGGGAATAGTTCACTTGCTGCCAATTTCTATCAAGAATCAATCTTTTCTTCAGTGAAAACATTGTCCCTTGGGCTAAAGGTCTCTTGAACTGCATACAAGTCTTTTGTCATTGAGTTATGGTATTGATAAAATTAGTAGCTAGAGATTGACGGTATTTGAAGATGAATTTGCCAATATTTCATCCAAAGAAAAAAGAATTATGAGACCAAAAAGTTTGATTTACTTATCTTTTCAGTCTATCTTTGAACATTCAATTGCTACCAAATTGAATCAAGAATGAATCTTTTCTTGAATAGCAACATTTGCCTTGGGCTAAAGATACCTTCAAGCCCATTCAAGTCAATGTTTGTCACTGAGTGTATGTGTTAATGAAAAAATTGGCCAGTTCCTTCCTATGATTCCGTGGACATCTCTTCGCATGTTTCTTGAGGTTCCCTCTGATACGAGAGGCGAGAAGATCTTGGTCACATGCAACTGCGTGCTTATAAAAGGAAATTGCCACTTCACATTGACAATTCCACGCTAGTTAGTAGTCACAACCCGGAGCGCTGAACGTGCATTGATTATAATATTGTCAATACACAAGTTTTATTATGTGCGTTAGTTTTTGGTTTTGCCCTTATATATAGTTGCAATCCGCGGGTTAAAGGCGGCGGGGAAAATTAATATTTTTATAAATAAAATTTTAAATATAAAATATAACTTTTTTTAAATACTAAATTATTTATCTAAATCAAAATCAGAGACGAACGAATTTTGAATTCACCCTTTGATAAATAAATAAAATAACAAAATTAAATATTCGTTTTAGCATTCTATTACTTAGAAGTTATAAATTTATTCAATAATATATTTTTCAAACATAACTTATTCAAAGTAAAGATCAAAATATTTTTTTAACGTAAATTACAAGTGAAGATACAAAAAATATTTAAATTAATTATTTTTCATATTATTCGATTTGTGCATTATAAATGATAGTAATATATTTTATTAATCAATAAGTTAAAAGCTAGTCCTGTCCTATTTGGGTCTAAAAAATGTATTTAAAATTTAAAATATAAATTTAAAAGCAAAGTTAAAATGATTTATTATTTTTCTATAATTTACTAACTTAAAAGTTATTTTAATTTAAAAATTTAGTCAATACGTAATTAAAATTTGAGATTTAAAATAAAAAATAATTTATGTAAAAAAAATTTCCATTTTCTTCATTTTAAAAAACATGGATACTAAATGATACGAATTCTTACCCATCATAAATTCTGCCAAATCATAACTTTCTCCTCGACTTTAATTGACTATTTGACCAATCAAATACAAACACGTTAATTCATTTAAAAATTGTGCTATCATTCTATGTATAGTATATAGCAAAATTCTTAAACAAATTTTATTTTATTCTTAAAAGCTTTTTTCTAAAATTATGTATAATTTGACTTCTTTTTTCAAAGAGATAAAAAAGAATGAGTGAAACACTAAGTTGAATATAAAACAAAATTGAAGTTTCACAAATGCCCATAGGACATTAGTTAAATAAATATTTTATAAACTTTTTAATGGATTTTGTTAATATCAGTTCTTAGAACTAAAGATAAAAAGTTAATAATTTGTATTTTTTTATAAAAAGTTTTTATTTGTAGATGCTTAAACATAGACATAAGAATGAAGTTAATAAATTTTTTTTTTTAATTAGTGTATTGATGATACTTGTTAAAGAATCAGTAATAAATTATTTTTATTGAAGATCGTTTTGAAAATTTATTACAAATCATAGTAAAATTGCATGAATAATTATATTTTTTATTAAAATTATATTTATTTTTTATTTTTTAAAATGCCAACTAGTATTTTTAAAGCTTTTATTAATAAAATTTCACCATATTTTTAAAACATTTTTTACATAAATATTTTTTATTTTTTATTCTTTAATCAAAGGCATAAATTAACAAAACTTTCCAAGTTTACAACTAATAATTCTTTTCAGCGAAAAGGAATATATACATTATTATTTTTATAATTATTATAGCATAATTTGTGTAAACAAATTCTAATAAGTATTCTAAGATACTGGTTAAAGAACAAAATAAGAATGGTTTTATTAAAATAGTCTCCAAAGTGAGCATGGAATATTCACGTATAACTTCCAATGGCATGCATAACTTCCAATCAACAAGCATTTACTCAGTTAAGTGCGCATGGAAAATTCATGCGCGGGATTTGATTAATTCTCTTAATATCTCAGCATGCTTTTTGAGATTTTGTTCATTTCTTTGCTTTCCTTTCTCGTATTCTAAGATATTTAATTATCCTTTCTCGTATTCCGTCACACTCTCGGTTTCAGGTTAATCTTCAACGCAAAACTTTGTTTTTTCACCGACAATGCAAACAATTAAAAAAAAACTTTGAGTAGTTTCCGGATCAAATGCACTGTTGTCTGGTATTTCCACATGTATTAACCAAACAAAACTTTTCAGCTTTTAAAAAATATTTTCTGTTTTTTAAAATATAAAAAAAAAACATTTTAATATTGTTTCCAAAATTCCAGTTTTGAAAACAAGAAAAGCAAAACAGTTTAAAGTCGTTTCCATGCTTCTATATTTATATCTCGTGGTATTTTACTTTAAATGTTGAAAATGAAAATTAGAAATTGAGAATAATTATAAACAAGAAAATTCATATTTCTCTGAGAAACCACACGTGACGTCTCATTTTCACTTGATTGAATTGGATGTGTTAATTTGTTTAAATTTGACACGCGAATATCTCTGACTCTGTTCCTGAGTTTGGTTGGCACTAGCGCCAAATTTCGGAATTGATTTTATTTACAAAGAAAGACTTTTGTCCAGAAATTTATATCATATGAATTGATTTGATTTTGAAATGAAATACTTCGTTTGAAAAGTTATAAAATAGGAACTGAGATTTTATCTTGAAATCTTTATCATAGTAAGTATTAACGTTACTTCTCTTTTTGGTTGGGAGTTAATGATAACACCAATGACTTGGTGTTTTTCAATGTCTTAAACTTTGATAGCGCATGCTTCTGTGTATGTTTATTGAGCAGGAACGAATTTCACCTACTATATGAATGTATATAGCAATCTGCCTTATGGATTGGCTTTGCAAAATTTTTAAGAGATTCAAGCATAAGAAATCCAGAGTACAAAATCATGCAAATTTGCCATCAACCCCAGGGGTAATGAACTTTCAGCACTCAGTATGTAAACACATTTAAATGCTTCAGAAATTTTACCAAAGGTTGAAAATGCTAGAATTGTTTTTTTCTCTCTCATTCATTTAGAGAGTTCTACATGTCTTGCTGCCATCACCCTAGTTTGGGATTTGAATGCAGGATCTTTTGCCAGAGAACGAGAATGAAGACATAGATCGTGCTATTGCACTATCTCT